ATGCTAATGATGATGTAGTTATAATAATAATAATAGTTTTTTTCATTTGCAAAACATTTGATAGATTGCAAATCTTTTTCAAGTTCGCTTTCTAACTTGATCTCATTTATCCCACAAAATTGGTAGGACAGATATTAGTTAGGATTCCCAACTTAAAGGTGAGGTCACTTGTTGAAGGTCACATAGATAAAAAGAGGTTAAAGTGGTTTCCCTTTCTAAAGGGTGACTCTTCCACTGTATACTGCTGCCTACAAAAGAAATGAACCATGCACTGAAAACAACTGATAACAAGCTTCAAACCATTTTCCGCCACTAGGAGAAAAAATTCTTAACTTCTATCATCTTTTAGTACAAAATTCCTAGCAAAAAGGATGATTCATACAGGTAGCACAAGCAAACCATCAGAGGTTGTTTAAGTCATTTTAGAATCACAAACTCTTAGGGTGCATCCTGGAAGCTCCTCTTTCCCCTCCATTTTAACACATCCTACTCGAGGACAAATGCAAATCTTAGAGGTCATTTACACAACAAACAAAAGAGTACTAGTAAAGCAGACTGTGTATTTATGTTTCAGATTGTTATGCCATAAGAAGTCAGTTTATATTTGTATACAAGCATTCATACCTAGCTACAAAACCAAACATTTTTCAGTTATATCCCTATTTTCAAACAACTGAGGCATACTATGTTCCCACAATTACCTTGAAGGATTAGGTGGTGAATTTTATCTTAGTCATTGCAATGGTATAAAAATCATAGACCTGGACATTATTTTTTTTATCATACTACAAACTTGTTTTAAATTCTGGTATACAACTTTAAATACCAAGTGTTAGCACATGTTTTATCTCATAATGACAACTATAAAATCATCATGAAACCCCAAAGTCATGAATAGCTATTCAAGGTATCATAATGAGACTTCCAAAAACACAGTGGAAGTATGCCAACAATGTGGAAGCCAGTGGAAGTTAATGTGATGTGGATTAAATGAGAATTAGCCTATTGTAAATGGTCTTTTACTAACATAGAGCCTGCAACTTGGTATGTTTGGATAAGTAATAATGACGTGATTTTACACAGGTTATTCAAGTAGAAAGTAGGCAGAAGTCTGTCTTCATCCTAGAAGGATGGAGCTTTAAGAATTTGGGGAAAAATAATTTTTTAAAAAGACAACAAAGTTCTGTGGGCCAGGAGATGAACAATATGGCAACACTGAAATCACTGCCACGTTATGTATCTTTTTTTCTGTGTGGTTTATAATCCTCAAGGTTTTTCCCTTTTTTTTTTCCTTACAATATAGAAAGTTAAAAAAAAAAAAACTTTCCATTTTTTCCTATCTTCCTTAGAATGTAAATTCTGAAAGATCAGGACTTGCTATTGTATGCTCTTTTATCCCAACTTGGATTTCAGTATTCTATGTCACAAGCTCTTAAAAAAAAAAAAAAGACATTAAATGAGTAAATTCAACTAACTCATGGTGTAGTTCAACAGAATAAGCATTTACTAAATCTCTATTCACAAGGCATTGGACTAACTACTAGGGAGCCAGTTAGGGTGTATCTATGTTTTCTGAAATATTGGGAAAGGTAGACTTTGCCCATAGGACCCAAGACTCAAAGGAAATTCCTTTACAAAAGAAATGATAAACGTTTGCTAAAAGACTTTAACAAAAATGTACATCCAGTTATGCATGTTTTAGACTGACAACATTCCCATTCTCCGAAGGTTTAAAAACCAAATCCCTCATCACGGACTTCCTAAATGCCCGCTGATCTCACTCAGAAAAGACCGAGTACTGAAAAGCTGTCCAACTCCTGGTAGTGGATACATGTTTTCTAAACTTCTATTTCTCACTTGAAAACTCAAAAATTATCATTGGCAACAATAATTGTCCTTGTTTTCCTGGAAGTGACAGATGCACATTATTTATTTTCGAAAAAATGTCTATCGAATACCTGTCTGAATAACCATAGTTTGTCCATCTTTCTTTGAAGTAAAAATAGTGTCCCGTGAAAATAAAAATACTAGTTAAGCTTGCAACTCAAGCACAGAAGTGTTTTCCTAGAGACAAATATATGGTACTCCGGTATTCAGCACATGTGCTTTTTTTTTTTTTTCTTTTTTCATTTTTTTCTTATATTTATCTTTTTATCTTATCTTTTCTTATATTTTTCTTATTTTTTTTTCACACAGAATTTAAAAAGTGTGGGGCCCCTGTGTGACTCAGTTGGTTGAGCCACCAACTCTTGGTTTCGGCTGAGGTCCTGATCTCAGGGTGGGGAGACCCAGGCAGGTCCGGCTCTGGGCTCCGCTCGGAGTCATGCTTCAGATTCTCTCCCTCTGTCCTTCCTCCACTCACACACGCACTCGCTCTCTCGCTCCCAAAAAATAAATCTTTAAAAAGTGAACCAAAGAGTTGAACTCTAATAAAACTAATAATTTTTACTGCTTTATGGAGAACACTCTCAAGTGACGCTGACTTTTACCGCGGTACCCCGCTTTGAATCACTCTAAGACGCCTGAACTTTTACTCACCATTGTTTTTGCACTATCAGTGCAAACATCAACACAGTGAAAGAGGCAAATAAATCTTAGCATTGTCACGAAAATGGTTTTGACACGGTAGACCCCTGAAAGGGTCTCAGGAATTCTCAGGGGGTTCGAGAACCACACTTTGAGAACCACTGGGTATTTGTACATACAGAAATCACAGTTCCCTTTCTCTTCAGTTAATTAATTCTTAAAGTTTATTTATTGTTATAGGTTTGACCACTGAGCGTCAAAGAAAAGACACTCCAAAGCGTCGAACACATTCAAGAGATACACCCTGTCGCGCATGCAGCTCCAAGGCTCGCGTAGGAAGAAAACAGCGTTTGGGGAGGAGGACCCGGATTCAGACCTCCAGCCCGGACTTGCGGTTGCCCCCGGCAACGATCGTCGGGGAGGGAGCGCGGCCATCGATTAGTAATGTCTGGCGTCCGTCACCGGACGTGGGGGCGGGGGCATGGCTGGAGAAGGAAGGCCTCCCCGGACTTGCGGTCGCCGCGTGTTTTCGGTTGCGAGGTGGTTCGTTCGTTCTGCGATCTATTGAGAGTGGCTTCCGACAGCCCTGGGTTGATGTCGGGGAGGGAGGGAAGATGGCGGCCGTGGCGGCGGGCGGCCTGGTGGGGAAGGGGCGCGACATCAGCCTGGCGGCCTTGCAGCGCCACGACCCCTATATCAACCGCATCGTGGACGTGGCCAGCCAGGTGGCTCTGTACACTTTCGGCCATCGGGCCAACGAGTGGGTGCGTGCGGACGCGACGGGGCCGTGCAGGCAGGGGGAGGGTGGGGACGGGGTCGTCAGACTCGGGGCTCCAGAAGCCAGTGAGGGGGAGGAGACGCTGACGCCTTGGAGGTGGATGGAGGTGGATGGTGGTGGATCACGGCCTGAGGCCGAAGTTGTGGCAACTGGACCCCTGGGCCGGGGGTTTTGGGGAAGAGGGAGGCCGCTCTGAGAAGCCACCTGAAGTTGGGGAAAGGACTTAAATATCTACGATACCCCACGTGGGGAGACCGGACCGATCAGGGACGGGACCCGGAGAGCTGAAGCAAGGAGGGGGGGCCTGATGATTTGAGGCCGGAAGACTGATGTACTCCGAGAAAGTAAAGCGGGATTCTGTTACTGTGAAACGTGGCTGCAGGGGAGGCGGGGTAGGGAGGAATGAAAAAGCCGAGTTATGGTTCTGGAACATCAGTCTTAGATGGGACGAAGAGAAGTCAAACCTTGATAGAAGGGGAGAAATTGAACTTGTGAACTCAGGAAATACACCAAGAAAAGAGCAAACATCGGGAAATAGAGGACAAAATGGGGGCTGGGTCTAACACTTCGAAGGGGGCTGACGCTCTTGGAAAGATCATTACACTACAGCCTACCAAGACCAAAATGAGTTTGAAATTTGAGTCCATTTGGAAGCCGAATTATTTAGTGCACTTCTCAAAACAGAAACCCAATAAATGGCAATGGGATGAAATTTAATTTTCCTCACAATTACAATGGGGTAGGAGCATAAGACACTTGAGTCCTTTGCAGGAATTACTGCGTGTGATTCTGTAACCCACCCACTTGAATAGAGAGATGTAATTTTTCTTTTCCTCGTTTATGATTTTTGTCCCAAATAATGATCCATCCATTATATAACCATCCATTATTTTAAACTAAGTTAGAAAACAATATAAAGAACGGGGCGTGGATGAATGGATTTCAGGTGATTTTTTTTTTTAATGTATTCTCCAAGACATCAAAATTCAATCAAGGAAAACATGCATATTGAACAAATTCATATATTTTTTAACATTTACATAGCCTGTTTCTCTAGTCTAGTGTGGACCTTGAGCAGTCTGTAATAAAAAATTCACCTGAAAATCATTAACAAAAATAAAAAGATTAAAAAGGAGGTCCTAAAATGGGAGAGAAGAAAATAGTTTTGCCCTAAGTTCTTAAGTGAGGAAATTTGCTGGAACAGAGCAAGGAATTTCGGCCTGTACTCCTAGTTGTCAAGCAGAAAAGGAAAACAGGGAGATATCTTCAATATTCACCATTATGTAATAGAAAGTATACCACTTGGGTCAGCAGAGAGGTTATTTCCTACTAATTTTCAGGGGAATTTGTCACCTGGGTCTTTATATAAAGGACATTGAGCAATGTACTGGATGATTTCATCAATGGCAATTTAGAAAAAATACAAAGATATTCTACATATTGTATTGCTGTTATACTGCTCTACAAAAAAAATGCCAAAGGCATAATGTGTTAATTCTGTCAAGGTAATCTTGTAGGAGGTAAAGGATCAGGGATGTACAGTAATGTGAGCCTACTTGACAGTGGGATTAGAGTATGGAGAATCTTGAGAAATTGTTAACATGTAGAGGAAAGAATTCCTCTTGGAAAACAATTGTCTCCTATAAGCTTTTGACAGGATCTCTGTGATAGATACCTGTTCAAATAGTTAGAGGTTTATTAGATAGCCAGTGAAGTCTTTCTAAAGCCTTATCAAAAGGCAGAAGTGTCACAATGCATTATTTACAGGAGTTATGTTTTCCTGCTTCCTGGACTTGTTGCCTTCACACAGGGCATAATTCATTCAGTAAAAGGTCATTCTTTCAAAGTACTAATCTTCAAGGCTGTGGTAGCCAGAAAAAAGAGACCTAGTTAGATGCAGAGCAGTTGCTGAGGGTAAACAGTTTGTCGCCACCGTCTCCATATGCCATCACTCAGGGCCTCTGGATGTGAGCTTTTTGAACATAAACCTACTGAATTATAAAGAACATTCTTGAGATTGGTGGTGAAAGTATACGCAAGAAAGCAGATGGGAGGTAAAGGAGGGGAATTCTTACTACACTAAAATAGATGAAGAATGACTTCAGGCATTCAGTGCAGGAGATATTAGGAATGAAGGGTAGACAGAAAATGAGGTGCTTGAAGGAAGGATTAAGAATATGTCATGACCGGAATAGGAATTTAAGATCTAGAACTACTTCCCATTCATTATCTGGAGACTTCTCCCCCAAAATACCTACATGTCATTTGAAGAATATATTTTCACTTCTTAGTCCTTAGAGTAGTGATTCATAACTAGTTTTGATTTTGTCTCCAGAGAACTTTTGGCAGTATGACCAAAATTTTTGGTTGTCACACTAACAGGGAACATACCACTGGCATCCAAAGGATAGAGGCCAGGGATGCTGTAAAATACCCTACACACAGGATAAGCCCCCATGACAAAGATTTATCTGGTCCCAAATGTCAGAAGTGCTGAGCTTGAGAAACTGCCTTAGTGTGACTATTGTCCTGTTTCTAGCTAGTGTTCTAAGTTTCCTATGTATCAAAATCACTTGGGAGTTTTGAAAAGTGTAACCTGCCAGATCAGTATCTCTGGATGTGAAGTCCGGGCATTGCTGTTTGTTAAAGACTTCATATAGGTGACTTAGATGCTATGTGCATGATTGAGAGAGAAAGGTTTATGGGGATAAATGGAGACCTACTTTTTCATTGTATTAACATAGATAATTAGTAATATAGAGCTTGCTTTGGGTTGTTTCAAAAGTGTCAAATACTGTGCCATCCCAATAATTTGCCAACTAGCACTATTTTATATTCCATCATCTTATTTTAAATTTTGAACTGCTTAATTTTTTAATACATGTTAGATTTTATAATAGAGTGTAATATTAAATCATTAAATTGTACTTTTAAAATTTTAGCTAAAATTCCCCAGAACTATAAACTAATAATTTAACAAAGAAGTCCTCCTTAGCTGGAGGACCTAAGGAGGATCTAATAAAATCTTGTTCTAACTATACCCCAGAACCCCAACCCTGAGCTTTGCCCAGAAAGAAAAAAAAAATCTGGTTACCCTTGGATCTGGAGGCACCAGGAAAATGCATGAATGTGAGCTGTTTCAGCCTTGATAGATCAGAATTTACATTTCCAAAGCCCCTTTTATCCATGTGTAATAGACCACTTAAAATATGTTTTTGTTTTTTTAATCGAAAGATCACAGTGGTATAAGCTAGTTATCTCTTTTCAGTGTAGAAACTGAGACATAGAATAATAAACTAGTTAGCCCAGTATGACCTGGCAAGAACGCACTCCAGGTATTCGTAATCAAGATTTAAGAAATCCCCTATACACTTTAGTGCTGATGACAATGCTCCTGGTGGGCAAAGTACGGAGTGGATTTTGTTTGGTGCAGACTTTCCCAGTTATGGGTCTGGATCCCAAGGAAAACTCTCCAAAGATGTTGCTTGATGTTCATTGTACAGGGAGACCGGGTTTGTGGTATTGGGCTGTGGGAGTCTGGCCCCTAGCTAGTCAGGGGAATTTCAAACTTTATTTAAAGACCTGTTGCAATTGAAGATGGCCACAAATTCTTTCACATTTTTCAATCAAGAAGTGGGGTTCATTACCTTGAGGGCACTATGCTAAGTGAAATAAGTCAGAGAAAGTTACCAATACTGTTTGAACTCACTAATATGTGGAATCAAAAAAAAAAAAAAATGGCTTGTTACAAGTTGGAGAATTTCAGGAGAAACATGCCTTTTACATTTCTGATTCTAGATTTTTCAAAACTAAAATTGGGCATTAAATTCTTTTTTTTTTTTTTTAAGAAGTAATTTCCATTGCTACTTCATGGAGGAAGAAGGGAAACAGTCAAAAGCTCTTAGCTATGTGTACTGATCCATAGAAGCAGGTTTGGAGCGCTAAGATAAAACAGTCTAAGATCAAATACTGGAAGACAGGAAAGTGTTTTGGCCTTGGAGCAAGTGGTCCTCACGATGCACCTAGACTCTTCTCCAGTTCCTTAATCTGTATCTCTGTTTCAGCTTCTTATCAATGTAATAAATAATACCAAATATTTCATTTTTACACATTTTTTCTTGAAGGCTCTGTGGACTATAAATACTTGCCAACTGTACCAGTTGAACTTTAGGAATGCCCACAAATTTTTAGACTTGTTTGGGTAGTATTTATTGTTCTATAGCGGCCATTTTCTCAATGATTAATATTGTGGAAGTTTTTAGGTAATTCTTAGCACTTAAAGTGCACCCAGGATATAGATTTCTCAACAGATAAGAATTAACCCTGTTTGTTTACACAAGGAAAGATAAGTAATAATGTTTCTGTATTTTTTTTTTTTTATTTTGACTCAGTATTTTTCAAAGCACAGTGGAAAAGGGCCACATTTGAGAAGTAAGGATATTTTTCACAGGACGCTGTAGTGATTTATATGAACTTTATAATAAATACGAACTTTATAATAAATCCATTTTAAGGATGAACTCTAACTTTCTTCCCAATGTTTATGTATTAGAGAAAAGACTGACTAAAATTGTTTTTAACTGTTATAAATTCTTTATTTCTAATTGCATATTCTATGATGAGGATTAAAATCCTCATTGTTGCTAAGTAATTTACTCTTAATATCCATTTGCTCTTAAAAAACAATGTTTGGTGATGTTTGACACAATTTGGGACATCGTGGATTTTGACTTCAGGACTCCTAGTACAGTTCTCTGGGCAAAGGCAGCAGTTTTCACATAGCGTACATCAGAATCACCTGACAGCTTAGTGAACATGAGGTTGGGCATCACCCCCACAGTCTGAGTCTGTAGGTCTGGGAGGAGCCCAAGAATTTGCATTTCTATCAAGTTCCCAGGTGATGCTGATACTGCTGAATGGGGGACCATGCCTTAAGACCCACTGAAGTAAGGTGACCAGGAGAATTGCTGAAACTACTTGAGCATGTGAGAGGATCATGCTTCCAATGTTTTATGTGCCTTTAAAAAAATTACCATGTAATATTATACCCTTGTTCTTAAAGAGTGTATTTTCCCCAAAACTATAGAGTACTTAAATTTTGAATGATTTTGGTAATAGAGATTAATAATAAAATATTAGGTTAGATAGAATGGTGAAACTAAAGCATGTAAGTAGCAAAAGTACCTTTTAAATTCTGAATTATAATAATCTGATTACTAGTTAAAACATTTTTTTTTTTAGTATGCATTGTACTGACGAACATTTTCATCAGGGCCTGGGCTCCTGTCTTCAGAGAGATGGAAGAGAGCCTTTCCAAATGAACTGAAATGATAGTTTATCACTTTTACTTTACCATTTAACCAGTTTCTCTTAGGCAGATTTCTTGAGTCCAAGCTTGGCAATGTTTCTAACTTGATTTCAAAGATGCAAAATAGACTCTAAATATTCCACACCACGTTGGTGATTAATTTGTCTGAAAACTACAGCATTGTTGCTCTCTTCTGTGTTGTAGTCAAAGTAGGATTATTGACAGATCATCTGCTCTCCTAGGTGACAGGATATGGCAAGAGAAAATGAACCCAGACAATAAAGAGAGGGATAATGAAATGTGAACACCAGTGACTGCCGCAGCCACGTACCCAGGTCACAGGGTAGAGGAGAAGGCAGCACACTTAGCATCTCCTCTTTCAAAGGAAATCCGTGGAGCGTATTTGTTTTTGTATTACTTTAGCCAGAGGTGTGTTGCTGTCTCTGTCTTTGGTAAAGAGAGATAATGATGGTTTATTTCATGAATGACAAAAGGAGAATGGCTGCTTCCTGCTGCCTAATCAGCGGAGCCACAACCTGGCTAAGAAACTGCTTTTTTCCTTTCCCTAAGAATAATCCCTCCTGTTACATGGATTGGCCTTACTTGAAACTGAATGTTCTCTAGCCTCTGTGCAAGTTACTATTAATGAAGAGAATATACAGATTTTGCTGTTTGTTTGTTTTTTGTTTTTTTTTAGGAAAAGACTGATGTGGAAGGAACCTTATTTGTTTACACAAGGTAAGAGTATTTCCCTTTATGAAGAAACTGACAGTCTTTGAAAGAATATTTTAACTCAATTGTGTCACTCTTCTTCAAATGTAGTTTTATTTCAAAGAGAAGTGAAAAATCCTGAATCTTAGTTTGAAGTTATTAGTGATATAAGGAAGGGAATACTAATAATGTCACCTGGTATAGTATGAGGAATACTAATTTCAGAATGTAATTTAAACTCCAGTATTGGTGAGCTTAAATCTCTGTGTTCTTTTTAAAACAGTATTAAATATTTATCCTTTAATTCAAATGAATGGTACAGAGTCCTTGAATATAATGCATTGGCAAGAAGCTAGAAGTACACTATTAAGAATATTAGATTTTTTAATCACTATTTGGAAAAAGGTTTTATTGGTCACCTCCCCACTCACCTGCCTTTGACTCTTTAAAGACGTGTGCTCCAAAACTAAAGATATCTTTGAGTCCTCCATTATATAACTAATATAGAATATATTTCCAGATAAATTTAATAAATTCATGTTTTTTGTCATTTGTATCAGAAATTGTTAATATCACATAGTATGTATATTGTCTTAATACTTAAGCATTTTATTCACATAAACATTCACATAAACTGTCCATCATTGTCACTGGGAGGACAAAGATAAAATACAAAGGCCTAGTACAAACCCTTCTAGAGCTAACAGCTTCACTGCGGAGACAGAAAATGCACATACACACACACACACACACATATTTTTTTTAGACATTCACATTTAAAGATAAACCCCCCCAAAATAAATAAAAATAATAAAAAATAAAGATAAGTCCCAATAGATAGCTTATCCTCAGGGCCAGCTGAAAAGTTATAAGCAATGAATGGGCTGCTATGATTATGGAAGGCTGTATAGAATTGGTGCGTCCAGAGTAGGCCTCAGGAATAAGGTAGCACTTAACTTGCATAGAGGAGGGGAAGGGCTGTCTCCACAGGAAGAATGGCAGAAGCTGAGGCATAGGACCTAGTTTGGTGAAGGGACAGTAAGGAAAATTACTTTTGGCTGCAGAGAGTTTATACTGGTTTATAGCAGTTAGAAGACAGGGTAAAGAAATTTTGCTGGCTTAGAATGTCAGACCAAGGATTTTGAAATTTATTTTCTTAGCAGTAGGGAGTCACTGAAGGTTTATAAACAAGGAAGTAATAGAGTTATAGCAAAATGTGTGGGGAAAGTCAGTGTATTAGCATTATGAGGATGCACTGGTTCTAGAAGAAGTTGGGCTTAGAGAGGACAATGAGAAGATTATTACAGGGGAGTAGGTATGAGATGATGGGAGTATGGGACTAGAATGGTAGAAGCTGAGATTGAAAAAATTTCTTGAAAGATTGCACGTATAGAGGAAATGTTAATATTTAAAAAAAAACTAAGATGTTAAAAAAAATATTTAAAAAAAAACTAAGATGTTTAAATAGACAAAGAATGACAGAATCGTGAGCAGTATGGAAGGATAGGAGGTGGAGAATCTGGTTTGAAGATAATTTTATTTTGAAATAATGATTTTGGAGTAATAGCAGGACATTCAAATAAGATGTCAGGTCCCTCAGGACAGGTTAGGGATGGAAATACAGAGCTTGGAGTCATCTGCCTTAAACTGGTCATTGAAGCCATGAGAGTACAAGTGTTCTCTGAAGGAGAAGAAAGTGATGAGGGCTAGTGGTTGAGTTTTTGGGGCCCAGAGATACAGAGAAGAGTCAGCCATACAGATACAAGCAACACGAGAACCCAGTTGCAGGCCCAGTGCAAGCATGGCAGAAGAGTGTGTAGGTGGAGGCTGAAGCTACAGTGGGAGTGGAAAGAAAGGAATGGATGAGCAAGGCCATCGGAGTAGGTAGAGGAGATTGGTTTATTAGAAAAGTGGTGGGAGTGCCTAAGAGCCATTGGCTACTTTACATTATGTTCAAAAACATTCCAAAAGCACCAGAGCATACCGCCAAGTGAGTATAAACTCCTCTTGAGAATTCTGAAGTGTGAAAAGAAAACCAGATGACCTCTGACTTATTCCAAGCACACACAAAGAGTGCATTTCTCATTCATTTCGTACAAGTATTACTCTTTTGAGACGTGAAAGAAAAGATGTATTAATATATGCTAATGATTTGTTTTAGGGATTTTTAGTAGGCCCTCTCTCTCTCTCTCTTTTTTTTTTTTGACTGCAGAAGATTAACAAATTATACAAGTATTTTCTCTTTTGTGCCCAAACCAAATGTAGGTTTGCATTTTCAAGTATTTCTTAATATACTCTGAGTTCCAAATGGAACTGTCAGTTCAACATTAGGCTGAGAACAACTCTTTTCCCTGTTCCTTAATCTCTTCCCCAAATCTAACTCCTCAAGAATAGGGTCTTTTCCCATCTCCCCCCCCCCCCGCCCCCGACCCTTCCCTGGGTGTGGACCAGCCCCCCCCCTCCCCAGTCGGATAGATGCCAGATTCTAGCATATTGAGGTCTTTCCTCAGTAGAGAATGACAGAAAGCTCATAAAAGTCAGAAGGGAATTTTTAGTACAGGTAATGGAGCTGCTGGTGATAATATTTCGACTTCTGTTACAGATATTGCTTTAGAGGAACTGGCACATTCATCCCCTGAGCCTATTTTATAAATTATGAGATGGTATAGTAACCATACTATTAGAGAGGTAAGGTCCTGTTGTGATAATGAAATACTTGAAGAATCAAATTCTGATTCTGTATAAAAACACCTAATCCCATTTAAAAAATTATTTCTTTTCTTTATTTCCTCCCATGGCTTGCTTTCTGTAATAGAGAGTTCAGAGACACCCACTGGTGATTTTTGAACTTGACACTTCCAGAGGACCCTCTGTTAGAGATCTTGGGAACTCTTTTTCATTCTTCCTCAGAATTTAAGTTGAAATGATTATCATGATGCTTTCTAGTATTGATTATATGCCCACCACTGCTTTACCTTTTTGTAAAATAAGTTAGGCAAGGATTGCCTTCCATCAAGTTTAAAATTGGAGGTCTCAAAAGAAAAGTCCGTAAGTAGTACTGTAGCTGTATTTTACTTCTTTAGTAGCATCAAAGGGTTAATGTGAAATAAAACTAAAACAAACACCTTTTCTTCCTATCGCTCAGAACATTTCTGTGGGTTGGTTACCCTGCTGCCCTAGTTTAAAGTAAATAAATGAATTCTGCTTGCTTCAGTTTCAGCGTAGAAGCATTTGGTGTTTCATTTGTCACCAGAAGTTGCACAGTTGGATTACTATATGGCTGTCACCCAAGAGTAGACAAATGCACATGTAGTTGTTAGAGTTACACTCTGTGTAATTTGGGCTCTTTCTGCCTGACAGAGAGTAGGCACTGAAGGTTAATTCAATGAAACGAAAAATAAAAAGTCACTAAATGACACGTTTTTATGGAGAAAAACTTTTATAGTAGTTTATCTATGAAGTTGTTTCCTTTATGAGGAAAACAAAATAGCTGCTTTTTTTTTTTTTTAGATTTTATTTATTTATTTGACAGAGAGAGACACAGCGAGAGAAGGAACACAAGCAGGGGGAGTGGGAGAGAGAGAAGCAGGCTTCCTGCTGAGCAGGGAGCCTGATATGGGGCTTGATCCCAGGACCCTGAGATCATGACCTGAGCCGAAGGCGGATGCTTAACGACTGGGCCATTCAGGCACCCCATAAATAGCTGCTGCTTGAATTAAATTCTGTGATCTTTTAATTATACTGTATCTCATCACAGGTTCGTTGACCAGAGGGGCATCATTTCTCTAAGAAATTTTACAACTTCAATTTCAAACCAACACTAATATTTTCTATGAAAAATTTCTTTGTATGATTGTGATGTGCACTCTATACTAACTATCAAGATTCTTTAAAAGTATCTGTTAGTAATTTTTTTAAAGTGGTTAATATTTCTGCCTTAAAGGAATTTACAACCTAGATAGGGAAGCAAGATATCTATATACACATAGCTAAATAGGTAGGACTTGTGCCGAAGGGACAGCAAGGGCAGTCATGCTGGATGTATTACATATGAAGTAGTACATGAATTAGTACATTCGTACTGTTAGCCAATAGTAAAGAATCATTGCTTTGTATGTGTACAGTCTGCTTGCACAAAGCTCTCTATACATACAAAAAGGTTGAGAGACACGTTCGAATAGTAGTTCTACTAAAGTGTACTTCTGTGGAATAATTTGTCTTTTGATATCCTCCCCACCCCTTGTGATTTTTAGGTCTGCTTCTCCAAAGCATGGGTTCACCATTATGAATAGGTTGAGCATGGAAAACAGGACAGAACCCATTACTAAAGACCTGGATTTCCAGCTCCAGGATCCTTTCCTTCTCTACAGAAATGCCAGATGTGAGTCTTTCTTAATGCATTGGGTAGTTTTATTTCTGCAGTTTGGCCAAGTGTTTAAAATTGTATAGTAGATGTCTTTGTGTTTGTGTTCAGTATCAGTGACTCTTAGTGTCAGCGTCAGTTAACTTGGGAAATACGCATGTCCAGTTGAGGGAATCGCTTCTTCCTCGTGAAAGTTTCAATGAAAATGATGTCAATATGGTAATGTAAGTATTTGAACCCTGTTTTCTGCTGCTAGACCTGTTCGTGTGAACCCATCGTAGATTTTAAACCTGGGTAGGGCTGGGTGAGGCGAATTCTTGGTCAGGAGACTGCAGAGGGACAGACACATGGGCAGGGCTACAGATACAGAATGAATGATTTAGCTAGTGGTACTTTTTCCTTGTGCATCACTTCAGACTGAGCATCCGCATAGGAAATTGGAGGAAGAAGGCCTATATTCTAGATTGCCATCTTTTGAACACATAGTAAATGAAAAACCAAAGTCCAAAGAGTTTTGGTCATTTAGAATTTCGTAAACTTTGTAATGTTGAAGTTATATTAGGTAACTAAATAGTCCTTGCCTTATTTGAAATGAGGTGTAGCAATCGTCTATCCAATATTCTGTCCCCATTTTACTCTTGTGATTATCTGACCACTTGTGTTGGACTACTGGGCAGCACAGAGAAAAATTGATGAAAAATATATGAACTGCAGGAGCATCTCCATACACAGAAAATGAGAGCATACTTAAATATAAATTGTATGTGTGTGCACGTAATCTGTGCTTTGTGCATAACTTTAAGAAAGACCTGGCAGTTAAGAAATGTTTTCCATACATTTTCCACCCTGCTTTTGAGATCAAGATAAAAGAATTTGCCAACTCTATACTATTCAGTGTAATTTTAATAATGAATGTAATACAAATAATATTTAATGTTTTAACTCCAGTGAATTTTTTGTTTTGAGATAAATATAGCATTTTAACTTATAATTATAGTCACATATAATCAAGTTGTCACGATAGGTGGTCATCTGTTATTTAGAGAATACAGTTAAGTTTTTATGAGAAAAAAGCCATTAAAACTGTAACATGACTTACCAGTGCTAAGTCCTGTGAAATAAAAATTTAGTAATACAGGGAAATATTTTGTTCTTTTCTCCTATTTCTTTGCTAGGAGTGTAGTTAAATCAGTTGTTAGTTTTTGAATTATTTGTGTGCTTATAGTTATGTCAGGTTTATTTATTTTTTTAGATTATTAGAGTCTATGTCAAATTAATATATAATTCAAACCCTAATAATATCCCCAAAATAAATATAAAATAAATGAATATTAGTGACTTATAATAGTCATTTTTGGTTGTTCTTACTTTGGTTAAATACTTGGTCTAGTCAGTATAGATAGTATTTTATTTTAAATTCTTATCACAATATTACATATTATATATCATATCACATACTATATCAAAAATATAAAAATACAAACTTTCTTTAATGTGGTTGATTTTAAAAAATAGCTTTCTACGCCCCACAGGGTTTATCTGGTAGGAAATAGTGTTTGGGTGTAGTAAACATATCAAGCCTCGCCTTGGCTCCAGGCCTCGCCTGTCTAATATGGTAGCCCCTAGCTGCAAGTGGCCATGGAGTGCTGGACGTGTGGCCAGTCTGAATTGATCTCTGCTGTGAGCGTAAAATACATACTGATTTGCAAAGACTTAGTACCAAAAAAGAATGTAAAAAAAAGTCTCATTAATAATTTTATATTGATTTATCTGTTGAAATGATAATATTTTGAATCTATTGAGTTAAATAAAATATATTATTAAAATTAATTTCACCTGCTTCTTTTAATTTTTTTATTTAAAATTAAATGTGTGGTCACATTTGTGGTTCACCTTATATTTCCATCGAACAGCACTGTTCTAGGCATTTTCATTTATTTTACCATATTTCATAATCACAACCTTGTAGGGCAGACATTTTCACTGTCATTTTGCAGATGAGAAAAGTAGGCTCAATGAGATGACAGACCTGACAGAAACCTGTAAATTCTGCTTTTTTTTTTTTTTTTGCTTTTTCTACATCATCTGTACTATTCTCTGCACTATTAAACATGAATGCAAATTGAAAGCAGCCTTTTGGATGCATAACAAAATATTTCTAATGAATTTCCATAAGAAAGAAGTGAAATCAGTTGAACAGCGAAGAGTGGAAGGGAATGGATCTATTTACCTTTCTGGGTTTATTTGCTTTTGATTTTCTCCTTAATATCTGGTACTAATTGCCTTTGCAGCCATAGTCTTTGGTTTTAGTTTATTTGTAAAAGCCTTTTCAGTCTCTGTCATCAAAGGTTCACAGGAGAGTTTACCCCAGGTTGCTTTCAGAGTCTCAGATATTTCTCAGATGTTTATAAAGAATTCAAATACTTTATGTAATAATCCTATATGGTTTACATATTTTCTAATAACATATAGATTGTCCTTTGAACAATGAAGCCAGCTTTATTCAAGAATGGCTTTTGGGGCGCCTGGGTGGCTCAGTTGGTTAAGCGACTGCCTTCGGCTCAGGTCATGATCCTGGAGTCCCGGGATCGAGTCCCGCATCGGGCTCCCTGCTGTCAGCAGGGAGTCTGCTTCTCCCTCTGACCCTCCCCCCTCTCAGGTACTCGCTCTCTCTCATTCTCTCTCTCTCAAATAAATAAATAAAATCTTTAAAAAAAAAAAAAAAGAATGGCTTTTAAGACTCTGTACCCCTCAAGACCTGTATAATTAAGAACCTCTCTGTATAGCGTTGGCATTTCACTTGGCCTAGGTATGTCATAGGCCGTATTTGGACATGTCAACAGGTAGAGTTGATTTAGGTTTGTGGTGAGTTTTCTCATGGAGTGTTTTAGATTTACTAAGTTAAAAAAAAAATTAGTACCTAGGGAGTCAATTATCCCAGTCTTGGATTGGATGAATTTAGAAAAACAAAATCAAGGAGTAAAAATCTTAAAATTTCTTCATTTAATTAAAAAAAAAGATGTTTAATAAATAAGTAACTTTGAACTTGATCAAACACAAAATATATGGTTTTATTACATTAAAGGATTTATAGTTTTTAAGCTTGGTTATAATTGGACTTGGCTTATATAAACTTTAAATATAAGATAGCTGTTAATTAAGGACAGAAATTCATTTATTCAACAAACATTTACTGAGCATTTACTGTCCGCCAGGCACTATGTCAAGGCTTTATATGGGTGATTTAACTTTTGTAACTTTTTCTTGGAAATGCTGTTATTCTTGTTTTATAAATGAGGAACTGAGATTAAAGAGATTTAAATCATTTACCAGGGTCCATGACAATTTTGAGGTGGAAATAGCCTTGGAACTGGGAAAGCCTAAGTCTGTTTTTTATTTTATTTATTTTAAGATTTTATTTATTTATTTGAGAGAGCATGCAAGAGCAGGGGGAGGGGCAAAGAGAGAGGGAGAAGCAGACTCCCCACTGAGCAGGGAGCCCAATGCTGGGCTCCATCCCAGGACCCTGAGATCGTGACCTGAGCTGAAGGCAGACACTTAACTGACTGAGCCACCCAGGCACCCTGAGAAAGCCTAACTTTAAAAGCCCAGGCCCAAGCAGTGATAGTACTAACACATATGAATGATGCATTTGAGCAAGGTTTACCTTTTAAGAAATACTTAATCTTTTTACTGCACACTCCAAAATTTAAAAAGCAAGTTTTTCTTTAAGTTGAAAATCTCTTATATCTCAGTTATTAGGAGAATATCAAATAAAAACTAATGTAATAAAAAGCTGAATTTGACCATTTCTATTAGAGCCCTTTAGCAACCATTTTCTGTATTTTCCATTTCATAACTAAATAAGATTGTATTTTCCCAAATATAAGATTTAAGATAAGTTACAGACAGCAGAGGCAGGTAGATTTCAGAGTTAGACCAACATGTTGAATATACCATTGTCTGTGGCTACAGGAGTAGAATGAAATTCTTTTAAGCTGCTTGATTTCATTGCAGACATAAACCTGGAGCTTAGAGGAAATGATAAAAGGCAAAATCAAGATATTCAAGATCAAAGTTGTTTTAGAAACTCCGCCTCAGTTTTAAAGTGAATTTACCATATTGGATAGTTTTGTATTCAGAAAGAAATACAGTTTAAATCCTTTATTGACATTTGTAGGATCTGGGAAGAACTGCTATAAATAATGGAATATGGGACACTAAATGAAAATGATAATTACAGACAGCCCTCTTCTTTCAAATAGGCCATGTCCTAGCAGTTCCTTTTAAAGTAATTGGTGGACTTTGGTTAAACATGGCATATTGGATACATTCCTGTTGTTCTCCTAAAACTGTTGAAATGACAATAAAGGAATAAAAAGAGACATAAACCTACAAGGGTGGAGGATGCATTTCATGAAAAAGATGGAATAAACAGGAAAGAGGAAGGCATGCCATGATAGCTTTATTATTCATAATTTATTAACTTTGCCTCCCTGCAGAAGATTATATATCTCTGCTCTGTTGATGTCAGACTTGACTACATGATTTGGTTCCTCCTCCCACTGATCCACCCTCCAGGAGGATATGTAGGATATGTAGGATATATACCCTGTTGAACTCAAGTATGGCTGTGTGAATTGCTTTGGCCAGTAAAATGTGGGTAGAAGTGTTTTGTGTCATTTCTGAGCAGATACTTTAAGAACTAGTTCATGATTCACCATTCTCTTTTCCTTCTGCTATGATGACCAGCAGTGTTCTAGGCAGAGGCTGCTTTGTCAGCCTGGGTCCTGGAATGAAGATAACATGACACAGAGGTAAAAGTGACCTATGATGGACATGTAATGTGTACAAGAAATAAATCTTTATCACTGAAAGCCATTGAGATTTTGGGGTCATCTGTTACTGAAGCATAATTGGGCCTGTTATGATGGATACATAGCCATCCAGGAAAAAGGGGATCCAAATACTGGATGGAGGTAAAGGAATTCTGAGAACAGTGGTCAAGAGGAATCCCA